CAGCATGAGAAAAGTTGAGACAAAATTTGGCCATACAAACAAGACTGGTGGGAACAGTGAGAGTTGTCCACTCTACTGCCAGACCCAAGTGGGTAGTGTCCATGGCTGTGAAAAAAAAAAAAAAAGCTCATTTCTTATTTCTATTCAGGAAAAAAAAAATTCTAAAAAAAAAAAATCTAAAAAAAAAACTGACTCTTTTTTCAAGTATTCTCATTCCTTTTTACTGACCTAGTAAGATGGGAGAGTGAAGCACCCAAGGGTTTTCACTTCTGGCAACAAATGCCTGTCTGAGTGCACATGAACAGGCGTGACCCACTCTGGAAACAGTGTCAGGTGAAAAAATCTGATTAGAGAGGTACACCTGTTAAACAATAACACAGGCACCCTAATGCAAGCTTAGGAAAGACATAAATCTCCCATGGGAAAAGCAAAAATTTGATTTTGGCTTCAGCATAAATACAGACTATGTGAATGGAAGTTTTCTTCCAGACCCAGAAAGGCAGCTTGGGAAATTTTGTCTGGAATGCAGTTTGTAACAGCATGATGATGTAGAGAAAGGCAGCTTGGGAAGTGAAGTCCATAACAGAGATGCCAGTACTACACTGCCCACAAACTCTTTTTTTTTTTTTCAGCTCAAAATGCAGTTTTTTTCAAATGATGTTAGAAAGCTTAGCCTTACCTACTGAAAACTATAAACAGGTGAACAGCTTGCCTTTCCAGAGGCAATTAAAATGCTAATTCCATTTGTCAACAAGCCACTTGGAAGCACTCATGATAATCTTAAAAAGTGGTTTTAAAAAATTAAGAAGAGGGAATTTTACCCTTAGTCAAGCTTAGAGCCTCTGACTTCAAACTCTCAAGAAAACTTTCAGAATGATATCAAAGCTGACTATAAAGTCCAAACTTTAGTAATGATTTGCATACTTTCTATCTTGTTAAAAGAAAATGTAATAATTCCGTTTAGAAATCTCTTCTAGATGTTTGATAATAGTTTCCTTTTAAATATAAGTTTGTAAAATAGTTCTATAGAGTTTTCTTTTAAATATAAGTTTGTAAAATAGTCCTATGGAGTTTCCTTTTGAATATGTTTGCAAAAAGTATTAATGTTGAATGTAAGTCTGTAAAAAGTGTAAATGTTGAATGTGAGTTTGTAAAAAAGTAAATGTTGAATGTAAGTTTGTAAAAAAGTATAAATACGTATAGTCATGTTCATATTAGAATTGTTTTTATTACTCTATCAATATCTGTCTAGACAAATTAGGTAACATTAATTTTTAAAGGACCACGTTGTATCTTCAGATATATTTGAACACATTTTATGATAGCTCAAAATATAATTTTATAATCTCAGTGGCCCCTGGAAAACTTAAGTGAAGTTAAGGTGTCATAATTAGGGGTGTTTTTCTGTCTTCTTCCTAGAAGTTTCCACTCCTGTTTCTGTTCAGAAAGGGGTAGGCCTCCCACAATCGAGTTAGTTTGTACGAAAATTCTACTGCTACTTAAACAGCTAAAACATGTCTTTATAATTACCATGGGTTTATGGTCACTTGAGTGGATACTTTGAACTGTTTTAAAATGACTGCTTTCTCCTGGGAATCAAAATAGTCTCTTGGAAATTTTATTGAACATATGTTAGGAGGAGTTTTGATCCAGGAAAAGGGCTTGGTGTAGCTGAGACTGCTGTAATCACCTAGACCCATTCCAAAAAAAACCCATATTCCATCTTTATTATCCTCTAATCCTTTACTGGCAGGTGTGGCAGCTTTGGAGATCACTGGGGATGTTTGCAAGCTCAGTAGGGATCTGAGTCAGAGCTGAGTTAGGTTGTGTACCCGCTCCTGTCAAGGCTGCTAGTCAAAGACAGGCAACTTTCTTTTTGATAGCTTCCAACTTAAGCCAAAGTATGCTTGATGGAAAGTATATCTCCATGATGGGTTAGGAAGATAATCAAGAAGGATGACCTAAGAAAGGCACAGTCTATCTGAGGGGCCTGGTGTGCCCTTTATTATATCTAGAAGGGGGAATTATGGAGACCCACAAAGGTTTCCTAGTGAGACCTGAGCTTGCTTTACCCAACAGGGCTGCATTAGAGGATTGCTTGACCACGTGCATGGTTACTAGGTGATTAGAAGAGTCTACACTTGGCTGAGCTAGGGAGAAGTCTTTGCTCCACCCATTGGCATTCCTATAAATAGCCCTTTAGAAGAGACAGAAGGGACTGGTGGATAAGGATCCAGGCCCTCCTGAGGCTATTCTGTGTTTTTTTTTTCTCTCCCCATTTATCCTTCTATCTAAATATTTCTCACTTCACCCTCCTCAAGAGTACCCTAGGCTAAAAGTGGGAGCTGGTCTCCCACAGTCAACTCAAAAGATGTCTAAGGAACAATGTTTAAATTTAGGAGAAACAAATTATTGTGGAATACCTAGGCAAACATGGGAAAGAGAAGAACTTCTAAATGTTGTATTTAGTCTTGTTACCCTTTTTAATCCTACAAAAGAAGTATATGAATATGGTTAAATCAAAAAATGCACAAATGAATAGCAAAAGTCTATGAATAGCAAAAGTCTATGTCCATCATGTTGACTTTTCATTCCATTCCCCTGAACAAACTACTATCATTATTTTCTGGAGTTCATATGTGGTGATATATTGTTTGTGATCTAATAAATAAAGTTTGTCTGAAGATCAGAGTACAGAGCTAAGCCATTAGTTAGCCATAGAAGCCATGCAGTGGTGGCACACACCTTTAATCCCAGCACTCAGGAGTTAGAGGCAGATAGATTTCTGTGATTTTAAGGCCAACCTGGCTACATGAGGTTGATCCAGTCTAAAAGAGAAACAGAGTCAGGCAGTGGTGGCATACTCCTTTGATCCCAGCACTTGGGAACTCACACCTTTAATCTCAGCGCTGTGGAGATGGAGACAGGAAATGATATGGCTAGACAGAGAGAAGAATATATGGTGGGAGGACACAGGAGCTCAGTCCCTCTTTCAGGCTGAGGGTTGCTAGAGGTAAGAAGTCTTTCTAGTGGCTGGCTGTTCTGCTACTCTGATCTTTCAGCTTTCACCCCAGTATATAGCTCCAGGTTCTTATTATTAAGACTAATTAGTCTGGGCAGCAGAGGCCCATGACTTTAGTCCTATCACTCGGGAGGCAGAGCCAGGAGGATCTCTGTGAGTTCCAGGCCAACCTGGTCTACATAGCAAGATCCAGGACAGGCATCAAAACTACACAGAGAAACACTGTCTCAAAAACAAACAAACAAACAAAAAGACCGATTAGAATTAGTGCTACATTCATATCTAAAAATAATTGAAGTTATATATAAATATGCATATCTTTTTAGTATGTATATTATATATAAACATATATCAAATCACAAATTCATATATATGTGTGTGTATGTGTGTGTGTGTGATTTTATACACAAAGATGCCATAGTACATAGAGTGCTATCTGCTTTGTGTTTTCACTAATCATAGATCTTGAAAGTCTTACTCCATCAACATGTCTATATCTAATCTTACTTTAATATCTATAAAGATTACAATGTATTTAACTGTTATTTTTCTAGCTCTCAGCATTGAAAAATAATGGCTCTTCTACTACAGATTTTGCCACTAGAATATAGACACTCATATTCATTTCTTTGAATACATGATTTTAACACCATTTAAGTTGAAAAGTGTACCCTCCTTCTGAGCATAATAATAGCATCCCAGGCAGGGGCGTGGCTACTACATTCCTTACATCTGCATTAAATTATATGTCTTTCAGCCTAGGTTACACTTTGTGTCATCTGTCTACTTGTTTTCAGTCTTTCTTCCAGAATATGACTTATAATCAGAAAAGATAGGCATTGTCACAATTGAAAAAAGCTACACGCAATTTCCAACTGAAGAACACTGTAATAGCGAGTTCTAAGATTGTCGTTGATACATAATTTAAATAATAGGATAATTATGTTGAAAGGAACAGAAAACCTGAATCTTGTTCGGAATTTAAGAGGCTTGGTGCTAACAGCATGTCCAATTCAAGTTTCTTTCAGAGACAGAAATTTTCCAGAAATGCAACTTGCTATTCTTTTTTTTTTTTTGAGAATTCTATATATGAATACAGTGTATTTATTTACATCATTCACATCCCTCCCTCTCCCCTCTCTAACTCTCCTGTGTTCTTTCAACTACCTACTTATAAATTCATGACCTTGTTCTAAACTTACTATTGTCATACACACACACACACACACACACACACACACACACATACACATACACACACACACACACACACACACACACACTCAAAATCTACTGAGTCCCGTTAGTGTTGTTTTATGTGCATGTTCAGGGCTGGCCTCTAAGACTAGAAAACTCACTGGGGGCCATCCCTGGAGAGAATTGCTTCTTCCTCCTTCAGCAGCCATTATTGCAAACAGCTCTTCATCCTAGGGGTAAGCCCTTGTGGAATTTTGCCCATCCACGTTGATATTTCAATTGGTGTGGTCTTGCGAAGACATCCACATTGTTGAGAGTTCACGGGTGCGGTTTCCCTGTCATGTATAGATGACCCTAGCTAGCAGTTGTCTTGGTCCTGTGGTTCTTACAATCTCTCCACCCCTTCTTCACTGCTGCACGAGTCTTAAATGAGGGGTTCTGTTGTAGATGACCCAACTGGGGATGGATACCCACTTACTTTCTGCATTTTTGATAAGTTGAAGATTTCGGTAGTAACCTTCTGTAGTAGCTGAAAAGGGAAGCTTCTTTGATAAAGGATGAAAATTATACTACCCAGTAGGTACAAAGATAAGTATTTTCACCTCCTTCTTGGCTGGGTTTACAGTATCAGGCATGTGTCCCTTCCTGTTGAGTGGGTCTTGAGTTCAATTAGACAACTGTTGATTACCGCCAACATATAAATGTTACTTTTTGTTGTATGTGTGCTATACAAACCCTGGTGTTCCTAAAAGTGCCTCTTGTCTTTTTTTTTTCTTCGCAGTGAAGTACATGAGAGAAGCCACGCCTTATGTGAAGAAAGGATCACCTGTGTCTGAAATTGGATGGGAAACGCCTCCACCTGAGTCCCCTAGATTAGGGGGCAGCTCTGCAGACCCTCTGTCATCCCAGTCCTTCTCCTTCCACAGAGACCGGAAAAGCATCCCCCTCAAGATGTGTTATGTCACCCGGAGCATGACCTTGGCTGACCCTGAAAACAGGTAATGGGGCAAAATTTCCTGGCCTCTGAGGTTATAAAAGAATTTGCCAGGTTGTGCTCATGTCTGAAAAGACTCCATCGTTCTCGTGTATAGACTGAAAGGTCCTCCCACCCTCCAAGCATGGGGAAGATACGTATTGAAGGAGGGAGATTATATTCCATCCAGGATTCCCCACATTCTTCCATTATTTTTTTTATCATCATGATATAAATGCACATGACCCAGTTTCTAGGTAGAGTAAGAGAATTGAAATCAGTGTCCCAGTATCTTTCCTTGTTTGTTCATTGTGAGTCTATGAGATTTTAGGTAAGTTATTCAAACTTGTTTTTGTCACTTGTAAGATGGGGATAATTGAAATAGATATCAGCTTGTGAGGGCTAAATGAGGAAACCCTACAAAGTGCTTAGCACTGGAATGAGTGTGCACTACAATGAGTGTGTCCATGACAAGTGTTAGTCGTGTTAGTAAAAGGCAACTCTGCCTGCCTGAGCCCCAGCATCCTCAACAGTGACCTAGGAGGGTCAGATGGCAGAAGACTTAAAGCTCTTCTCATCCATAGGAGGATAAGAAACGGCACCACTCAGCTTGTTGGACACTTTTCTGAAGTTCACAAGTGACTCTGAATGCCACAGGATAGACATTCCCCCTAATTCAGGGCACTCTGAAGGACAGCAAAAGTGAAGTAAAAGTTTATGGTCTCTTTTCACTCCAAATTATCTGACCACACAATACACAAGTTGTAGGAAAAGTTATCAAAGATGAGAATTAAGAAGAGAGGAGGGAAAGAGAGAGAGACAGAGCTGAGCCAACACATGGGAACTCTTGGTGACCTTTGCATCCACATTAAAGTGCTAAAAATAGAAATAGCTCTACTGGTCATTCTTCACAACATGTGTGGGACAGCTGCAACACCCACGAATAGGAAGTATTTGGCTAGGTTCACAGTTTCTGATGGGGAAAAGCCAAAGTGACTGGGACAGGGAGGAAATGGACTCTTGGTCTTCTAACTCCATGTGGGCTTTAGTTCTCATCCTAAGAAGTTCACTCCAAGGAAGCTGCTGGGGCCCTTCTGGCTCCAACCACCTGTCATACCCCACTGCCCTCCTCCCCAGCTCCCTTCCCAGTGTCCTCTGAGCAGCACAGGGATGGGCTGCTCATTAGAGAGATCCAGCAAGCAGCATCCAGAGAGGAGTCAGGACCAATGGAATGAGGACCTTCCTTGATGACCCTCCTCCTCCCTGATCCTTTTGGTTCTCCCTCCATTTCCACTGATTTCCTGGCCTGCAGTTGATTTCTTGATTGCTCTGAATTTCCATCTCCCTTGGGTCCTACTCACCTAATCAAAGAAGTCCATTCTCCCAAGAATCTAATGTCAAGGTTTCAGATGCAATGGATTCACAATCTATGGTATGCTCATCTTGTACAAAGTTTTATGTTAATTCCTTTAGTCCAGCGATTGCAAAGTCACAGCTTACAGGTTATACTCTACTTGTACATGTTTTTTTTAATAGTCTAACCACCATTTTAAATAATCTCAAACTAGTTGTCATATTGAATATTGTGAAATTTCACATTTTAAAGATAGGCTTTCACATTCCTAAAAAAAGAAAAATGGTGGATACAGTTGGGCACACACTGCTTCAGGCAAGGCTCTAAGCAGCAGATGTCCAGAAGCAGCTTCTCCTTTGTCAAGGGGATGGATGCTCTTTCTCATCTCTATTGTTCATACTTAGGGGCTTCACAGAATTTCTTGCCAGGTCCTTCATTATCACCTCCTTCATGTCTGACATCTTAGGACATGGTAGTCCTCCTAACAGCTGTTTGTGATGTTATTATTGTCCCCACTCTATGAGCAAAAAAATAAAAAAATGGGGAAGACATAGAAATTTCCAGAAATCATAGATGTTATTAATAACTTGAAGAAAAAGTTCATGAATTTTTTTCTGTTGTTCTTTCTAGCAATAGACTTATATGCTGTAACATGTATGACCTATGAATGGCATGAGGTCAATCAATTATCAAGACTATTTTGAGAAACCTCAGGCTTTAATAATACTGGAAATTCCATTATGTGTGTCTATCCAGAGAGGGGAATGGATTTTTAAAGCTTAATACCACCGCTGTTTAAGTCTACCACTGATGAATTATCTGCACAGCATCCTGGGTGGGAGAGGCAGAGGCTGTCCTGCTGGGATATGAGAAACAACAGGGCAGAACTAAAAATAGGGGTCCAGCTGAGACAGATGGTGCAGGCGGGGACATCAGGTCCAGATAGGTTCTGAATTGCTGCTACCAAACAGATAAGGAGGAGACTTGCCCCTAGTGAAGGAAAAAAAAGAAAGAGGAAACAAATGTCTTACAGAATTGTATTTACATGCTTGGAAGAATATAGCATTGCCAATCAGAAATATAATATCAGCAAACCACAACTCTGCTGACTACAAGAAATTCCTAACATAAAGTGATCTCGGAGGTGCAAGATGCAAGACCTGGCAGGAGCCCACTAAACTATTGCAGAGGAGCAGCAACAGAGAGCAAAGATGTCAATCTTGATATACAACAAGGTAGAATGCATGGTGAAGAGCGGGAAAACAGAACAAAGCAGGGTGATTTATGCTGAAGACCAAATTTTGCAAGAAGCATTCGATAGATTTAAACAAAATCCAAATAACAATACAGCAGCCGCTTGTATAGCAGAAGCTATAGAAAGAGCTCTGAGAAACAGAAGTGTGATAGGGTAAGGTAATTTAATATATGTCACTCTCAGTCCAAGATGAGTCACATGGAAGGCAAAGGATGAGTAAGGATATGGAAGGCTTGAATAGCAAAATAAGTCGTTCCTAGATGTATCCTAAAATTTGCATCTTGCTACTAAAGAATGAGCTTTTATTTTAAATGCGCATGGAGTCTACAACCATGACACTAGCAATCTCACCTGATCTTAAACACACACAGAACATGCATACAATTGGGCAAACACAAAGAGAGTGTAGCAAGCCCCATAAGATAGAAATAATATAAACAACGTCCTCTGGCAGAAGTGAGCCGAAGCCAGAAGATTAACAATAAAATCAAACCTAAAATATCTTATTTTGTTTTTGTTTTTAAAACACTCTCCATAAGTAACCCTTGGAATATGGAAGAAATGCACACTAAACTTCCAGACAATCATTACAAGAGAATCATGGAAGTCAGTACATAGGGTTATTGTAAAAGAGAGAAAAGGGGTAAAGAGTGTGGGCTCTGTGTCTAGCCACAGGCTTGGAGAAGTCTTAGTTCTGGCACAGCTACATCAAGTTAAGCAAGAACTCATCATTGAACGCAATTAACCATCCTCTACATACTCCATCCCCACATTATGAGCTTTGCTGAGGATTGGGAGTTAAGACAAGCAGAAGAGCTGGGATTTTCACCCAGCCTTGGCTGACACCATACCAGTTTCTGAATCATTACCTCCATTGTCTCCGACCTCAACACCTGACAGAACAGTTCACCTGAACTGTCAGCCAGGAGTTAACAGCCCCCTGGGTGCCAGAACATGAGAACGGATTGACAAATGCCACAAAGCCTCTCGGGGGCTGATGCCCTCAGTGGGCGACACACAGTTTCGCTCACAGTTTGCATTAAAACCTTTAATGCTCAATTTCTCAAATAGAAACAGCCATAGAACAGCAGGCAAGATTGCTGCTCTTTCTATGAAAAAGGTCACTCAGCAGGCACCAAATCCACTAGAATTTCACTGCTAGTGGCTATCAATGAGGACAACATACGCTTTTCAAATGCTACCTCTTTATATGTTCCCTGCTTTTCATAGTTAATGCTTGGCCTTCACACCCAGTGTCCTCATCCCGGCCACATCTGTGGTCCACCAGAGTATTTGGAACTCTATCCTTTCTGATGCTTTGTTTGCAGTTGGCTAACTTTTCCAGCCCCCATCCTCCTAATCAACAGAATAAGAAACCCCGTGTTTATCCATTTGTTCAAACAGGCTCTCTCTCCCCCCACATCATAATATCTATATTCTTCAGTATTGTATAAAAGCCCCAGTAAGCTTTGTACCCTCCCTAATTGTCCAGCACTGGCCCCTACATTTCCAGCCTTGATGCTCCACAATCCTTAGGTAATTTGTGTAAGGCCAGCAGTCACCTCCCTGTCATCTTCCCAACGGCCCTTGTCTAAGCCCCAGCAGAAGTGACCCCACCTGGACATCACTCTTGCTATACCCTCCATGCAGCTCTGTTTACTTAGTGCAACCTTCTTAAAGACTAACAACTATTTCTTACTTGCCTACCTAGTTCCTGAACTACGTGGTTCTTGAAATCTGAGGCTTTCTGTATTTTCATTCCACTACCCGAGCTTTCAGGAAGTTTGTTCAGTACAAAGGAGCTATTTAAGAATGTTCTCACTAATATATGATAAACAGCATACTTATCTATCCATTTTGGGCATTCTTACTTCTTCAAATTTTTCTTTTGAAGACATCTTTCCCTGGATAGTTTTGAATATGAGGGACTAGATTAAAGCAACATTCTCTCCCCATACATAGAAAATTTGCTGAAACTGGGATAATGCATCAACCAACCTGGTAGTGGGTGTGCACAGCTGTGCCAACACGGGCAGTGTTATGAGGTGTCAGTTCACCACCTTGTGAACTACACAACAGAGTTCACTGTGTATTTTATGGGTAAAGTACAAAGAGATACACTCACCCTGCTTTGGGAAACAGTATGTGTTTCTATACAAGGTGTTCTGGTGAGAGATTCAACTGGAAATGTCAGCTTGGCACAGTGACTCGGAGAGGTGGGATCCCTTAAGTCCTGTAGAACACACTTGGGCTTCTTTCCACAAAGCACCATCAATGATGTCACCATAAGTCAGAGGCTCAACCTCAGCCACAGAAAGTCAGCAACTTGATTTAAAGGCCTGCAAGGATGGATCCATCTCTGAAAGGTTGACTTGCATTAACCTAATAGCCAGAATCCACTTAAGTAATCAATGCA